AGGCTTTGTCTGGGAGCATGTTGTTTTTTGACATCCTTGAAATGGCGCCATTTATATCATGTCCTTGTGCAAGCCAACTCACCATTGTATTCGCCCTCGTTTCAGACTGGCATTTCCAACCAGACAACCGAATTCACCCAGCTGTTGAAGAGGTCATATCTTCTTCTTTATTCGCTCTATGGAAAGGTGTGGCCAGAGGCTTCTCAACATGTCATTTTGCCACTTCCCAGTATTAGATCAACGTGTCGACATCAAAGTGATAAACACGCCGCTGATCTGGTTGTGACACTATATTGCGCCCATGGTGTGATGTAGACTCTTCACTAACTTTTAGTCAACAATAGCGGTCACATACCCATTATTGGAGGAGTTTTAGGTAATCTGATGAAGTAGTGTCCAAGCGATCATTGAACATTTTTAGGGCACAATGACCGCTGGCGCTTTAGCAAGCGAAGCAACTTGTAAAGTAGACTTTTCTTTCGCTCGATTCTCCTATCTTAGATTTTATTTCCGGATGTACTCGATATCTACATATGAATACTTTAGGTTTAGATAGAGAATGCAATGCAGGTTGTCATCATGCACACGCCACACACAGACACAAAAAACAAACAAAAGGACTCGCCGAAACATATACTCCCTCCGTCCCATAATATAATAGCGTTTTTTATATTGGAGTTGGCACATGGATATGACCGAGAGGCCATTTTTGGGTAAGGATAATTCTCGGCATTTGCATTTGCATTGATTGATGCACACAGCCGACTAATTAAGCAAGCTAGCTCCTCTTGGCTTTTGCTTCCATGAGATCGTCGACGAGACGACGCAGATCACGGTGGGAGGAGCCCCCTTCCGCCACGGCGGCACGGCACTTGGCGGCGAGGTCGGTCACCCTGCTCCTCGCCGCGTCCCCTGCCCCTCCGGGGCGCATGAACGCCGTCACCGCACGTGCCACGTCTCCGGCCGGGACCACCTCGTGCTCCTCGTGCCTGGTGCTTCGCAGGCCGGCGCCGCACGGCCACAGCCGCTCCCCGATGCCCAGCACCTCCGTCACCAACCTCTCGGTGATGAACTGCTCGAACACCATGGGCCACGTCAGCACCGGCACCCCCGCCATCACCGTCTCCAGGACGGAGTTCCACCCGCAGTGCGTCACGAACGCGCCCACCGCCGGGTGCCCTAGTATCGCCGTCTGCGGGGCCCACGCCGTGACGAGGAGCCCTCGGTCTCCCACACGCTCGGACCACCCCTCCGGCGGGGTCCAGTTCCCGGCGTCCCTCACCACCCACAGGAACGGCTTCCCGGCGGCCTCCAGCCCGAGAGCGAGCTGCTGCAGCTGTGCGTCGGAGACGTGGGTGAGGCTGCCGAAGCACAGGTACACCACCGAGCGGCTTGGCTTCGAGTCCAGCCAGCCGATGCACTGTGACTGTTGGTCGTCCACGCCGCCGCCGGCCGGGGAAGGGGATGGTGATGACGACGAGAAGAATAGAGGGCCCACGAAGTAGGCGCGCTTCGCGTAGCCATGGCGCATGTACATCTCGCAGTACTGCCGCTCCAGCTCCGACGAGGTGTTCATGGCCTGGCAGAAGCAGTCCTGCACCGGAACAATCTTGCTGAGCATGGAGTACCGCTCATGGCCCCTCAGGAACTCCGGCAGCTCGGCCCTGGGTACCCGGATACTAGGGGCCGGAAACTGGGGGACCGTGACGACGTCCGCATCGCCATCGTCGACGTCCACCCGCTCGAGGTGGTGCAGGGCGAGCGTCGGGAAGGCGCCGATGGCGCTGAACGCGACGCACGGCGCGCCGAGCTCGCCGGCGACGCGGACGTTCCAGGCGAAGTGCACGTCGGTGACTACCGCGTCCGGGGACTGCGCCCTGGCGAGCGCCTCCTGCGCCGGGCGCATCCGATGCTCGCTCAGGGCGGCGGCGTCGATGCGCCACGCGTCGGCCTCCGTGGCCCTGCCGAGGTTCTCCACGCCCTCCGGGAGCCCTTCCACGGCCGGGAACGGGTACGTGGCTATCTTGACATGCTCCGGCTGCCCACGTCGCCGGAGCAAGGACTGGACGACCGGGGCGTTGGCCGGCGTGACTGCGATGGTGGCCTCCACGGCAGGTCCAGCGGCGACGAGGCGGACGGCGAGGTCGGTGAAGGGCTCGATGTGGCTGGTGGCGAAGAAGGGGAAGATGAGGACGCGCAGCATCGTCTTCTTGCTGCTGGTAGCACTAGCAGCAGCAGCAGCAGCAGACGCCATTTCTTCTTCTCCTCTGGGCACAGTGGTAGCTAGGCTGGGTTTGTTCATTCAGCTGAGCACGCAGTGGTAGACTCACCGGGGTTTACAAAGGGATTACGTTGCACTACTACTCTGTACTAGTTAAGTAATGCTACACATACATAAGTTTACATGGGTTTTACAAACAGATGGGTTGTGACTGGAGGTTAAGAGGAACGAGGGGCCCACCCCCATGAAAATCGGGGGGGGGGGGGTGTTAGTTAGAAAGAGAAACTAGTCAGTGTGTAATTCCTTTGTCTTGCGCTCACTTCAGTCGTTGAGATCATATGTTTTGCTAACTTCAAGAGTTACACACAATTACACGTTGACTAGACTTTTTTCTTTCTAACTAACCACTTCCCCTGATTTTCATGGACGTGGGCCCCTCATTCCCCTTAACCTCCAATCACAACCCATCTGTTTATAAAATCCATGTAAACCTATGTATGTGTAGCATTACTCCTAGTTAGGATTGATTGACTGAGATTTGATTAAGTGAAAACGGGCCCATCAAGGAAAATCAGAGAGAGTCAGTTAGAGAAGGGCACGCAGGGTTAGTCCGTGTGTAGTATTATCGACCACACAATCACCACCCACGGCCCTACGCTATCTATCCGAATGGAGGGAGCCAAACAATTAAGGCCCTGTTTGGTTTATAAGTCGTAGGATTTTTTTAGTCCCAACTTATAAGTCCCAAGTCCCTAAAATGTGCCTACGTGTTTGGTTCCTGAGACTTATAAGTCCCTATAAGATCATATTACAACTATAAGTCCCTCCTTAAGAGTCTTATTTTATAAGTCCCAAATGCCCACTTTAAGTCCCTATAAGTCCCTCCTGTTTGGTTTAGATGGGACTTATAGGGACTTTTTTAAGTCCCTAAACCAATAAGTCCCTGAAAACAAACACCCTCTAAGTCATCGCATTCATGTTTTGTTTTCGATCAATGCAATACTATTATTGATCGGTTAAGATGTAGCACCGCATGCTAGACTACTATGACTAGTCCAACTTGTCGAGGCTAATTACGATTGATGATGACACGCCAACATCATGAAGGCAACCAACATCCATAAATTTTTTATTTTTTGAGTGGTACAAGCATCCATAACTTTTTTTTTGAGAACCACCAAACTTTATTATTCATAGTTCACAAAACTCGGGATACAAACGGGATCACGAGGCTGTCCCAACCAGACATGTCTACCACAATCTAAAGAATGAGAAGACTAGTAAATGGGGTTCTCTACTCGACGCCCGACCAACGAATCAAAAACTGAAATTAAACTCGGCGGCCCTCAACTTAATCTCTGCTACAATCAAATCATAAATACCAATGCAACCCCTGCCTGCTTAGAATCAGTAGCCACCACAAATTTGTGAAGTAGAAGATCATCCGCTGAAGATAGAGCTTCCCTGCAAGCGATGGCCTCTAGAGTTGCAACATCTCTCATGCCATGAATTACTAGCGCCGATGATCCCAAGTATTTTCCAGAAGAGGCCCTGCATACACCCGCCGCAACGCCTCCTATACCCGATCTAGCAAGACCCGCGTCAACATGAATTTTCGCATAGCCCGAAGGTTGAGCGATCATGCGCCCTCTTCGGCCAGGAGTATGATCACGCACATCACTGACTTTTGTGGGTCCGAGACGAAGTTTTTAATTTGTCGACAGCGGACTCTAGAACACCCCTTCGTGTATTGCCTTCCGTCTTGCCCATCATGTAGCCCAAAGGGTCACTGCCATCCTAACAAAGGATCCATAGACATCGACTCCATCATGGTGAAAAGCCATTGTTTTGTGCTCACTTCAGTTGTTGAGATCATATGTTCTGCTAGCTCGTCATCATGTAGTTTGTCTTTGTCAGCATCATGGACGCCGACGAGCCTTCCGACTCATGCACGACCTGCTCTATGATGCGGATCTCGCCGTCGCCGCCGCCGGTGAGGCGCGCAAGCGGCGCCGTGACCTTCTCCTTATTCTTTTCTTCCCCAACTCGCTGTCAGACATGGCCACCGCCGATCAGATACCGCCGGCCACCGGAGCAGGGATCGAACACCGTAGCTCTGATGCTAGTTGTCGTCGTCGGATCAGAGAGAGGGAGAGAGAAGGAACGAGCGAGGGAGAGAGACAAACACGAGAGACAGTAGTTTTTGCTGCCGTAACTGCACATCGTTTTTGGTTCACCTTCCTCCTTTTATCTGATTATTACAACTGACTTGTCTACCCTCTCGGTCTGGCCGCTATGATCCGGGTTGATCGCGCCATCCCACGATCGCGTCCACAGCGAGAGCCAAAAACGACCGGGAGGGAGAAAATAGAAACGAAAGAAACGGGAGGGCTCGCTACGTGCGCCTCCCCTAGCTACGTGCATGCTTGGGTCACATCTGACCGCTGCCCTGTTTATTTTAAATGACTAAGAGCATCTTCAAGACTTCAACAGGCGTCCAACGTTTTGAAAATTAAAGTGTTTATGTGGTTTGTTCATAAACATGTAATTTTAACAAAAAACAACTTGGTCAAGCGCAATTGGACTGAATCTACTAGGTGTAGCTTCTGTGATCAGGACGAGACCATTAAGCATCTCTTCCTTGATTGTTCTTTGGCGAGAATTTTATGGCGCACTGTGCAAATTACTTTTAACATTACTCCTCCGAGTACGGTCGGGTCGTTATTTGGAACGTGGCTGGATGAGATAGAGTCCGAAACAGCTAGACATATTCGTGTAGGAGTGTATGCGTTGTTATGGGCAATTTGGAACTGCAGAAATGATTTGGTCTTTAACAGAATAACTACTATTCATTTTTTGCAGGTTTTATTTCGTGCTACGGCGCTGATCCGTATGTGGTCCTTACTCACTCCGACGGAGGCCAGGGAGCGTTTGGTTACTGGATCTGTCCGGTGGGAGATGGTAGCGCGGGATATCTTCAACCGGTTTGGTTGGCGGTCATGTAATAGGATAGGCTATTAGTGCTCCTATCTTTTCTTTTACCAGCCGGTTGTGGCCATTGTGGTTTATCTTGGCTTAGCTGCGATGTTCTTGGTGAGCTCGCCTTTACTTTGTTCAAGACTTTACGACTCTGTTGAACCTATTTTTATTTATTGAGGTGGCGTATGCATCGTTCTGATGCAGAGGCCGGAGAGCTCTCCCTTTTCGAAAAAAACAGGCGTCCAACACGCGGCGCGCTAAAATCTGGTTTGCGGCGCGCTCATCGCCAGGTTTGGCGCGGCGCACAACGCTGGCTCCAACAATCACGCTAAAATGCAGCGCGCGCGTAGCTCCAGCAGCGCGCTAAAATGTAGCACGCGCGAGAAGCCGGCGCCTCACATTTGTTCATTTTGGACACAAATATCACATCTACACAAAAGACATGGCATATAATTTGAATCACAAACATCATTCAACCAAGTTCGTGCCCAAAAGTTCATGCCCATAAGTTCAAATTCATGCCCAGAACATCATTCAACCAAGTTCAAAATGCAAACCAAGTTCATGACACAAATGAAAGGCACAACAATCAAGCCTTGTCCTCATCTTCATCCTCATCTTCCTCCGATTCATTTGACTCCTCCGAAGATGATTCTTCCTCCTCCTCTTCATTGTTGCGCGCCGCATCATCATCACGTGAAGCTCGAAAGGTGTTGCCAAGATCTTCAAAGGCATCTTCATGCGAAGCTGGCACACCGGCGCCCGGAGGTGCACCCATGCCCCCAATGAGAGACGCCAAACTCATGCCACCCATGCCACCCATGCCACCCATGCCGTCCAAGCCACTCGAAGGTGCTCCAAAGCCACCCATGCCTCCCATGGTCTCCATGGTAGCTCCAAAGCCACCCATGGAACCCATGCCGCCCATGGTAGCTAGCTCCAAATCCACCCATGGCACCAATGCCACCCATGTCGCCAAGGCAACCACCACCCATGCCGCCAAGGCCACTGCCACCCATTGTGCGAATCATGGCTCTTTTTTGGATCAAGACTTCTTCACGGGCAAGGTTGACATACTCCTTTTGCACATCATTGAACAAAGATGTGTCCAAGAAGAACAAGTGTTTCTCCCATTCCAACAATTTAGCTCGCTCCTTCATGCCCACCTTCCTCTCCTCCAATGCCACTTTCCTCTCCTCGGCCGCCACCCTCCTCTCCTCGGCCACCAACCTCCTCTCCTCAGCCGCGACATCTTGATTCCTTGCCATTTTCCTCACCTCGTTGGCTTCTTTTCTTGCGTTGACGATTGCTTCCATAGCATTTTTGAGCTCATCATCTCCTTTCCTCTTCTTCTTTTCTTTTGCGTTTTTCTTCGTGCCATCCGGTCGTTTTGGCTTCGAGTATGAAACCGAGTTTTATGTGGGCCTTCTCTTGCCATCTTCACTTGATGCATCCTCCTCCTCATCATCTTCCAAATCAATTGTTCGCTTGCGTTTTTTGCTCAAATCCAAATCATCAATATCCTCACGCTTCTTCCATTTCTCATCATCCTTCAATATTTCATAGCAATGAGGCAAGGTAAATGGCCTTCCTTTCTTGATCTTCCCCTTCTTGGCCCTCTTCTCCTCTTCTTTGAACGGGTTTTGTGCAATATTTAACTACAAAAAAACAAAACAAGTTAGCACAAGGAACACCAACAACAAGCATGATGAACATGAGGAATGGTGAAATGACACTTACCCTATCGTCATCATTGGTGCCACTTGGGTTCAACTTGTCAACCGCTTTTTGTGCGGCCGCCCATTGTTGACAATCCCTATTGATGGTCGACCACCGGGAGCGAACGATCGTGCGGAGCGGTCAATTCCACTCAAGTTGCGAAGATCAAAGTGTTCTTTCATCCGGAGCCAATAAGCATCTCTACTTTGATCACCTCCAACGGATGGATCCCTCGACACGTCCAACCAAGTTTTGCATAGCACAACGTCTTTGTCGTTGGTGTAGTTGCCTCCTCTTCCTTTCGGTGTGTCGACAATGCCCTCACCATCCTCGTCCACCTCAAACTCATGGTCTTCGAAATACATGTCATTGGTTTGAGACCAATGCAAATTGTTCGAGCCAACACCCATAGTTGACATGTATGCATCATCGTTCACACTACAAAGTATATAGAACAATGAAATAGGCTATCTATATGTATGCATTCAAAAAATAACAAGAAAAAATAAGTTGGGGAATTTTTTTTACCTTTGGGGCATATCGTCGAACACATTGTGCACGTCGGCCGCCGTCTCAACAAGTGAGCTCGCCGGCGCTTCGGTAGCCGCCGCGCCCATCACACGCCCTGCAAGCTTCTCTCGGCGCCTTCGAGGTGCCGAAGCCGTCCGCCGCCTTGTTCTTCTTCGCGGATGTCTTACCCTTCTTCCGCCGCGCCGCATTTGAGAGCTTCGAGGGGGGTGCACGTGGCTTCATCACGGCGGGCGCTGGCGCGACGCCACCCGCCGCCGAGGTCATCCGCGGTGGCATGAAGAGGCCGTGCGCGAGGCCGATGCTCGGAGGAGCTCCGGCGAAGGCGAGGCCTACGCTCCCAGCGCTAGGGTTTGCGGCGGCGACGGCGGCAGTGGAGGGTTCGCGGATGTAGGATGGAGTGAGGGGGGTGCCGGCGCGTGCGTCCATCGGGTCAACTCGCCAGCGCCGGCGCGTGCGGGGCGAAGATGGCGCGATGGAGAGAGTGCGGCGCGAGCGCTCGCGTGTGCCGCCCGCTTCCGCGGGCGCCCCAAATACGCAGCGCGCGATGGCGATTCGGACCGCGCGTCCAACTCTATATGCCGTGCGCGCGGTTATTGCGCGCCCGCTGGAGACGCTCTACCGATTGCGCGCGCGCTAAAATAGGCAAATTTGCGGCGCCGCGCTTGTTTAACGCGGCTGTTGGAGATGCTCTAACATAAGTCCATCTCATCGCTCTGCATGTCTCCGCCGAAGGAGTCAAATAGTGGTGTATATATTTGAATTCGTCGAGATGGACTTCGTCTTTCTTGTCTCCATCTACCGACCACCATCTCAGTTGCCGTCGCTCTTGTTTCGCGGCGAACTATGTCTCCGATTCCCCGTTTACCTGAGCTCACACTCATCCTCCAAAGAATGTTAGGCCTGCGATCATCTCAAGGCTTCAAGCGCTTACTCTATTATATTGTTGACCACTACCACCACGGCGATAATGAGATGTTGGTCGGCTACAACGATTCAGAGACCACGTGGGCGATGTGGATTCCGGGAAAAGCACCTGAGGCTGTTGTAGTGTTGTTCTTCCTCGAAAACAACTTGGTGACCTGGCAATCACAGAAGCGTCGCCACTTCTCCATGTGAAGCTGAGTACATTGCGGCGGCTCGACTTCTCGGCGCGCTTCAGAATCAAGACGCTTCCCCTACGAAACTCTATGTCGACAACAAGTCTGCCATCTCATTGTGCAAAAAATCTGGTGCATCACGACCACAGCAAGCACGCCCTCCACTATCATTTCATACAGGACTGCGTCGAGAAGGGCACAGTGGTCGTGGAGTTCATCAAAAGTGGGAAACAGAAGACAGACATTCTGACTAATCCTCTTGGTCGTGCTCGTTTTCAGAACTGCGCATCAAGGTAGGGATCATCCACATCAAGCCCCTTCAACAGGATTGAAGGGGAGATTATTACGAGTCTAAATCCTGTAGCATCATGTCTGAGTCATGTGTTGTCTCTTCCTCCACTGATGTAGTAGAGCTATTTTAACTTTTGATGAGAAAATCATAGCCAAGTACTGTATATGTGGTCTTTTGCGGTGCATTTTGCTCTTCTCTCGCCACGCAAGCCTGCACGATGGGTACACTTCTTGACTTGATTTGCATGGTCATCCGAGAGATATGGCCTTTTTTTCCCCATCAAACCACACAACCTCCAGTTGCAGATGGTGAATGTACTGGCCATCATCATTGGCATCATCCTTCGATCAGTTACACCGAACAACATTGGCATCATCGATCGATCAGTTCACGGAACAAAATCCATCATGATCGGAACGCTTCACAGAGGCGAATACACAAAAAATTGCTTCTCAAGTCGTGCGGGGCTGACGCTGAATCCCAATAACCACCTCGCACCTTTGGATGTCCCTTCTTGGAATGCTCTGCTCTGCTCTGTTCGCTGCTGCATCCACAAAGCCCACTGCGACTGCGAGCCATCACTTATGTCGATATTCTGCAAACACGCAACACAATTATATCAGGTACGGTGGTGCTTGAGGAATGTGGCAAATCATCAGAAAGCAAGGGCAACACTGGCGACGGACCGGTTCGAGCAATTCATCAGAGATTACAATGTTTCAGTGCGCAACACTTTTGAGCGTCATATTAGTATTAGTAGGGGAAAACCCAAAAATGAGAACAAAGTGTCAAGTACGTTTCAGCATATCAAGAGAGACAATTGCTTCAGCACTGTTTGTTTGCTCTGAATCACCTGTGAAACTCACCACTGGGACTGCAGGATCCAGTCCAATAAAATGAATGAACTTGGATCATTCATTACCTTTGTGTGAAGGATAAATGACAGCCAATAAGACCTAAACCTGTATGCATGCAATCTCCATGCGAGATTGTAGCCGCGGGTACAATACTTTCAGTACTCTGCCCAAGCACAATTCTCATTGCTCCGGTCCTAGAGGAATAATTCAGTATCAGGCTAAATAGGTTCAAGAATCAAACAAATTGGAAAGCATTCTCTCTTCTCTTGTAGGATGTAACTCAATTCAGTTTCACTTCACGATATTAGTAGGAATCCGTACCATTCTGTAAAATAAATGCACTACCAAGACAAGACAGCACTCTCTGCTACTCCCTCCGTCCCAAAATTGCACTCATCTGTCCCATAATGTAAGATGTTTTTTGACACTAATGTAGTGTCAATAAACGTCTTACGTTATGAGGCGGAGGGAGTAGACTGTAACTCTCTGCTACTTCATTTTTCAAGAATGAAACAAATTGGAAAGCATACTCAACTCAATTTCACTTCACGATACTATAGTACGAAGGTTACATTCATATATACCATTCTGCACCACCAAGACAAGACAGGACAGCCCTCACTGCTACATAGTATATGATACTCCCTCCGTCCCAAAATAAGTGTCTTGAGCTTAGTACAAATTTATACTAGAGCTAGTACAAAGTTGAGCCACTTATTTTGGGACGGAGGGAGTATTATATCAGTTGCTTTTTGTAGAAAGCAGCAGGCAGCATCATCCTTCCTGTCAAAGCAAAGGACTCAAGAAAGAGGAAATAAAGGCACTTGATTCCTTCATTCATGGCAAGAAAAGAACGGCCAACAGTTAAATTGGCCTGTTCACCCCTGCTGCTTCATGCGAAAAAAGAGCACAAGCCTGGTAATTCCATGATTCCTCCCTCAGTTCATGTAGCAGAATGGAGAGTTAACAGCAAGCGTCGCGGAATGAAGACTCGGTTGGTTTGTATCTCGCATCCGCCGATTAATGTGCAGGTTTGACAACTTGTGTGGTGGAGTGGAACCTGCCAGTCTATAAGATTTGACAAGTTAATATTAGGCAGAAATAGAAAATCAATAAAAAATAGGGAGGCGACAAGTGTTACCTTGGGTGTAGTTATTCTTCGACGGATAAATGTGGGTTGGTTCTTTTGATTTTCTCAATCTGCTCGTCTATCTCAGCGCTGCGCCAATTCATCTCTAGTTTTCGCAGCGAAACCGGGAGGCCCTCCTTGGGCATCGACTGGATTTTCAGACACCCAACGACATGTAACTCCTTGAGAGAAGAAAGGCGATGTAACCCTTGAGGAAGGGACTGCAGACCATAGCACCAGAGAAAATGTAGTTTCTCGAGGGAGGTGAGGAGCTGCAGCGCTTTCTCTTGCTCCTCCGTCAAGCTTTTCACCCTCCCATCATACTGGAATTCAAGTGTGTGGAGGCTCGGGGCGAGGAGGCTGCAAATAGGAGCAACAAGCAATCCACAGATGTTATCCACAATGAGCTTCTCCAATCTAGACATGTAACCTGCAGGCAATAATTTGGTCCTTGCCACCTCTGAGAGCAGATCTGCTGCTAAGGTGCTGCTGCTGGTAACTTGCAATTCTTTGAGGTTGACTGTGATGAGAGGATTGAACCCATCCACCGTTAATTTACCGCAACTTATTAGGCTTAGACTGGTGAGAGACGTGAGGTTTGAGAGCAGAGCCATCGACTTCATGCTTTGCTCGCCCCAAACATCAAGTTTCCTCAGGGGAGCAGGGAAAGGGTAAATGGTCTCTGATTCTCCCGTGGCCATGGGCCACCGAAAGAACAATTCGCCACATCCCCATATTGTTATTGATTGGAGCAATGAGTTGTCCTCCTGAATTTCTCCTCCATTCTCCACAGGCACAAGAACCAGGCCCTTGCAGTCTCTAAAGCTAAGTTTCTGCAGTGAGCTGGATGATGGGAACTGCATTGATATGCACGATACATTTTCAATAGCCATATCTTCTAGTTTATCCATATTGTGGTAGGCCAAAGCACCGCCATACCCTCCAACAACCAATAGTTTTCCATCATAAGACAACAACGTTTCTGAATCACCTCTTTTAACATCCAAATCTGTCAGTGTGGAGGTGTGAGGCATGGAGGGCAGAGACATCTTTGGGCACCCGGAAACTTGAAGTCTGCGCAAATTGGTGCAAGAAACCTCCGAGAAGGGCATCACACAGACATTGGGACAATCGATGCATATGATTTCTTCAATACTTGTTAAGGAATGGCAATTAGGTTCCACAGCCCATTCAGCAAGTTCCGGCATCTCATAAAACTCGACTTTGTTCAAGCGCATAGAACATTTCCCTGGAGCGCCACCACATCGAAGCCCAAACTGCTGCATTCTAGAAATTGTCTTCAATTTGAGTCGCTTGAGATTTGGTAGCTTCGCAAAAGGTGGGAGGGTGCTCCAAGATACGCCTTCTAGAGTGAGAGTCCCTAAACTTGCTAACCAGATGTCAAGACACAACCAACTAGGACCAACGGTACCACCATGATTTGCAATTGTAAGTGCTCTAAGATTCGAGTGTGGTTGAAGAGCATCAAGGATATCAGCATCTGTAGTTGGTCCATCTCTGCCCCAGAGTAATTCCAACTCCTTCAGATTCTTTTTCAACTTCAGCTTGGCTGCAGTAGCTTCCTCCTTGTTTGCCACGTGTTCAAGACCACGTATAATCAGTCCTCCTTGAAGCTCTGTCAATGCCCCAAGTTCTGACAGCTCAAATCCCATGCTCCCATTCTTGACATGGAATTCTTTTAGCTCCTGCAGATGCTTCATCTTTCCGACATTGCGAATATTGGAGTGGAGTTCACTTGTAGCATGGAAAGCATGTAAATTCTCAAGGTGGCTAAAGTCTTCAGGCAAATCAGAATGACCATTCCAACCATCTAGGTCCAAGAACTTCAAGTGATAAAATCTTGATAGTGTACTAGGTAACCTCATTTCCCTGTCATTGTGAGATGAACTAATTTTGAGGTACTGGAGGTGGATAAGTTTTGAAAATCTATGTGGAAAAGATTCTGGATTGTTCACTGCTATAAATAGGACACGCAGACTATTTATTTCCTTGAGGCTATCTTTCAAAATCTTGGCGATCCTTTCTTCATATCCTCTAAAAATCATCAAAGTCCGCAAATTAGCAATGTCTATCCTCTCCCTTAGTTTACACATTTCTTCCTCAAAATTTGCATCATATTTGCCTTCTATGTTGATAGATAAGTGTCGTACCGATTGTGGGATGGCATTAGCTCTGAAATCTAAGCCACTTATACTGAGGCATTCTTGTGCAGAAACACTCTTAGATAGCTCATGCATTAAATCGTGCATTACATAGGAGGATCGATCAGCCCAGTCGAATACCTTCATGAGAAAACCATTGTCCACTAGTTCTTCCAAGCAATCCCTGCCGGCTTGGTGATTAGAGTCTATGATGCCCATTGCATCCCAGAAATGATTGATTTCTGAAGAAGTAAACCTATAATCTTCAGGGAAAAGGCCACAATAGGAAAAGCATTTCTTCAGATGAAAAGGGAGGCAATCGTAGCTAATTTTTAAAGATGGCATGATGTCATCACTTCTTTGCTGCTTTAGCCACTGATGCTTTTCAAGAACTCCATTCCAGTGTTCCTGAGAAAGGTGCTTATGCAATAGTCTACCAACTGTTTTGGCTGCCAATGGGGAACCCTTTAGCTTGTTTGCAATTTTTCGTGCAATACCATCAAACTCATCTTCGTAATGGTCAGGTTTGTCTTCTTCACCATTAAATATACATGCTTCAAAGAATGTGAAGAAGTCATTAGGCTCCAAACCTGCCAGTTCTAGTGAATCAACCGTTCCCACCATTTTTGCCAGATTTGGGAATCGGGTTGTGACAAGTAGCATGCTTCCTTTGGTTTCCCCCTTTGTGAACGGAGCTAACAGGGTTTTCCACTGGTCCACACTGTCACACTTCCATATATCATCCAAGACAATTAGAAACCTCTTGGACTTGAGACGGCGCGCAATGGATCTCTGAAGATGATCTAAATTGGTTGTTTCATTTGCAACACTGCTGCTTCCTCCTTCTTCATCCTTTGTGGGTATGCAGGCAAGGATCTCCCTGGTGAGCTTAAGCACATCGAAATCAGTGGATACACATACCCAGGCCCTGACTCGGAAGTGCTCTTCAGTCCTGCCATCATTATACAGATGTTGGGCGAAAGTTGTCTTGCCAATACCCCCTGGACCAACTATAGGAAGAACAGAAACAGTCTCGGTCTGCGTACCAGTGGTGATACGGTTGACAGTTTCCTCAAAAATGCCCGTCCTGCCATACAATGTGTCTTGTATAATCATGGAAGCAGTCTGAGGCCGATGTAGGACGACTGCCGTGCTGTTTCTTGGGATACCGCCGATGAGCAAACTGGAGACGGAGTCACAGTGGGACTCCATGCCCAGTAACAGGGACTTGATTTTGCTGGACATGGACAATCGGTCGAAATGCAGCATGTCATCAGCATGAGCAGTAGCAGAGTTGGCTTTGGACCTTTTGGTGATGCGGCTGGTAACAGCAGCAGCGGCATCACTACCTCCATCCCTCTTGGTCTTGGGTGTACGGGAGCAAGAAAAGAAGTGGACCAAGCTGCCTAGGGTGTGGCGAAGAGCAGTACCAGCATGGAGAGCTTGATGGCCGGCCTCTTGGGTGGTGGCGTAGAGGGTGCCGTGGAGCTTGTCGTGGATCTGAAAGTAGTGGACCTCATCCAGCAAGTCCTCTGCCTGGTCGGCGTCCCTGCTCAGCTTCTCCAGCAACCCCTGCAGGCCAGGGTTGGGGTTGTCGCCGCCGGCGTGGCTCCCCTGGGCGTTGTGCAGCAGGCCTTGCGTGTGCAGTAGCTTGTCCCTGATCTGCTCCGAGTTGTGGCCCAGCTGGAGGCTGTCCACGTACGCCGCCACCAGGCCGTCGGACAGCGTCGTCAACACCTTGCCGAGGAGCGACTTGGCCGAGCCGAGGGCCACCTCCATCTCTCTGCAGACAGACACAACACTCCGCCGGTCGCCTCGCCTCGCCTCGCCGGAGTAGTGGTGGTTTGGTGTTGATGAGCTGCTATGAAAATAGACGCTTGGGTGTGGAGAGGAGGAATGGACTTTCTTTCTTCCTTCCACAACCGCACTGTGACACATCAATAATTCCATTCGATGTGTCGGCAGCCACTAGAGGAATTTCTCGTCGTACACAGTCACCTGACCAAACGCCACTGTGCCATGGGATGAGATGGGATGCGATGCCCTCCTCAAATGCGCCTCTTTTGGCCCCTCCTCAATAATGCCACTCTCTTTCACCCCCACCAAATGATATGACCCTTTAATCGAGTGTACCAAAAAAAAAATCCAACTTCTTGTCGGTCCGACGCCTCCATCGTTCGTCCGGTATCCGTCGCCCAAACTCTCCTCTGATGAGCTCGGAGGCAGTCCCGCATCTACACTGCGCACATGCCGGGCGGACTTCCCGACCTTGCACAAGGACACACCATCTCATGCCCGCCACCACCCACCGGGGGCTCTTGACCATTGTGTCGGCGGTCGTGGAAGGAGGCCCAAGGGAAACGGTGATGTACTGACGGCTCAGACTAAGGGGAATTGTGCTCGAAGGTGGTGCCGTTTGTGTCGTCAATGGTCGTGTTTAAATAGCAGGTGTTTGATAGGCCGAGCGGCGGTTTGAATGCTGGCGCATGGAGTTGGTCTCTCGGCTGTCGCGACGGTTGGAGTATTTAACCAAAAACTACCGCATTTCACGGAAACGTGACAGAAAACTACCACTTTACGATTTTGTGCCGAAAACTATCACTTTTATCCTAATCCGTGGCAAAAAACTACCAAGTCTCCAAACCGGTTGCTTCGCCCACACTAAGCACCAAACTGACCAGCCGGTTCTATGTTTCAGGTGCCACGATGGCCAACCGACGCCCGCCGCGCGTTAACACGGCAGGTGGGCGAAGCGACCGGTTTGGAGACTTGGTAGTTTTTTGCCACGGATTAGGATAAAAGTGATAGTTTTCGGCACAAAATCGTAAAGTGGTAGTTTTCTGTCACGTATCCGTGAAATGTGGTAGTTTTTGGTTAAATACTCCGACGGTTGAATGCCATGCAGGTGGTCTGACGGTCAACAGCGGTAGAAAGTCATCATGTCATTTAGTCAGGGGAAAAGTATATTTTTCGTCCCTTAATTCTTTCAAGAATATAGAAATAGTCCCTCAACTTTAAAATCAGCAAAATTTAGTCCCTCAACTTTTAAAACCGGATAAGATTAGTCCCTATTGCCACTTCAAGTGGTTTCCTGCTGACGTGGAGTGGTTTTGACCGGAGCTGACTAGTGTGGGCCCCACATCCTCTACCTTTCATCTGAGCGAAGGTACCAACTCCGTATTGGCTGCCACCCTTGACCTCGTCCATGGCGAAAATGCCAGCACCATGCGCGTATTCTACCTGCGAACAACATGCCGTGATGCGTCACCTGTGTCTCGGCCATGACAGTAGTGGTCTCTTTGCTACCACCCTATGTGCCCGTAACACATGCATTTCATCAAATAATTCACATGCATGATCTACATCTTGTCTCCAACGACGACCGGCGGCTGGTTGCCATGGCAGGGTGGCCGTACTGCTGCTGTAGACGAAGGTGAGCATGCCGGGGCCAATGACCGGAAGCCGACACTGGCGCGGCTGCATGTGCACGACGCCAGCTTGCTCGCCTCCATTGTCAACGTCTTCGGCACCCCGGCGCGGATGGATAGCATCGGCATCATGGACCACCACGACCTCGATCGACTTTGACGCATACGGTGGGCAGGGGCTTCGGCGGCGACACAGGTGGCGTGTCGCTGACGCTGGGGCTGCAGCAGCAGTACAACACGCATGCCGACAATGTCAATGTGCGAAGTCGCGGCGCTCGAGGAGTGGCCTTGTGGAGGTTCCATAGCTCGCCACAGTGCGTGCTGCAGGTTCTTAGCGCACGCACCGTCGAGCTGCTGAGCTCGCGTGGAAGGAGCTCCAGCGCCACCAGAACTGCCACGGGCGGAGCACGCAGCACGGACGAACGGGCGGTGCTGCTGCTCTGCTTGTGCGCTAGCTAGGCCCTCTGTCAGCTCAGCGAGTGAAGCGGTTAGCACAGGCTGCGGCGGCAACACGCATCAGCATGAAGCGGTGACGCCCATGGTGAGCAGGCCTATGGTTGGCAGTGTTAGTGTGCTAGCGATGCGCGCAGCAAGCAGTACCAATGCGCAGCGGACACGACAAGTGGTAGCTCGGTAGATGCGGCAACCATCGGACGGCGGAGTGCAGCTCGACCAGCAAGCGGGGCTACAGCCAGCTGGGCATGGCTGCTCGGCGTGCTCAAAGAGAGCTCGGTCCCGTGACCGGCAGCCTCCACTTCATCAACGAAACCATTCGAACCAGTCAAAACCATGCTACATCATCAGTTATATCATCTAAAGCGGTATTAGGGATTAAAGTTATCCGGTTTGAAAAATTGAGGGACTAACTTTTGCTGGTTTTGAAGTTGAGGGACTACTTCTATACTCTTGAAAGAATTGAGGGACGAAAAATATACTTATCCCTTTAGTCCGGGCGCGTCGCACTGAACCAGCATTAATGCATCCTGATGAGTGGCGGATTAATGTCGGACTATTGTATAACAGGAAACATAGCAATACCTTTCAAAAAACATAATAAAAATAATTTAATTATGTTTTTTTTTCTCTCAAACAACACGGGCATTCTTTACCTCGATGCTAAGGATACTCACCTCGCTAGGATACCCTAACGACTTATCTACCAGAATCTACTCGGCAGTGGTGGCCCATGCAAGTCTGGCAAGAACACGATGCAACACCCAAACAGTTTCTACAACAACAAGAGAGAGCGCTCGCCAATCACTCACTCGAGCTCAATGAAAATGAATCCGATGGCAAAATGTTGTAGAAACTGCTGCTAGTTCTGTCTCTCGGAATTTTTTTTGCGTGTTGGTGTTTTCCGCATTCTCCCGCATCCTAGATGACCCCATGATAGCCTGGGTCTTCGGTTAGGGTTAGCGACACCGTTTGCTTCGCAATGGTCTTGTCGATTGTTGATCTTCCTCCGCCTCCCCGCCCTCTAACAAGTGCCTCACTACCAACAACTGTAGATTTCCACCCAGCAGTGATTATGAGATGCCTCATATCAAACTATTCAACAATGGAAGAGCGTAAAAATTATCAAAGCATGATTCACTCTACTAGTTCATGGGACTCTAGTCTTACTTAAGTATTTACTACTCCCTCCCATCCAAATAAGTGTCGCAGTTTTGAACTAAGGTTAGTTCAACTGTAGTATAGAACTGCAACACTTATTATGGATCGGAGGGAGTATGAAACATCATGGAGGTCCGAACGCATAACCTTCAAGTGAAGGACCTAGTGTTTAAATAGTTTCTCATCAAATCTCAGATAAGATGACAGAAGAACAACCATGAACAAAAATATACAAATATATAATAGTAAATGTATGCACATGGTACCGCGATCCAAAGTTCGAAACATTTCTAGAAGCAAACTCAATAGCTTGATCTTCAAATGCATCGGCAACGATACCCTTAAGACGGCTTGTTATGATTTCCTGTAGTTGCCGATAATTATAAGGGCCAAAACACAGCCGCTGAATACACATCCTACTTAGATACGCGGCAATAGTTTTTCTGGAAGATCCATTGTGTTTGCTATAACTGCATTCAGTAACAACACACCAAAGAATAAATAATACGCCAGAGATCAAAATCACAAACCAAGAAAGAGTTATAGGTATCTATAATAACTAGGTTTGAATTTGGCTTGATGGGCCAATCAAGAATGTTATACAGGACCTGATAGAAAGATTAATCCAAATGTTAATGAACATGAACATATATCATACAGCAATCAGAAGGCCAAAAGATGGCAAGATCGGGCATTTTCTCAAAAAATAAACTATACATTTGTACAGCTGATTAATTAAGTTCAGCTAGATTATATTACCGACTGATTTCTTGTGGAAAGGAGATCAAGCTTGTCGATGAGCAAAACAATTGGCTGGTTTGCTTGCTTTCAAATTTTCTTGCCATCTGAAAAGGGCTCTGTTTAATAATGAAGAGCTTTTTTCCATCCCACCCTATGCCCACTCAACTGTTCATATATAACCAGCATATTCAATAAAGTGGACCTATGTTGACTGATAATGGAATGTATATGCTATGCTTGAGTAGGAATTTGGCATTTCTTAACTTAGAAGTTTGTATACCTTGTAGATATTCTCTGGAGAAGCTAATTTGAGACCATGGATTTCTATAAAACAATAGGGTCAACAAAGCAAAAGAAATCAAACCATCACGACGGCCATGAAATAAGGTTGGTTACCTTGCCAGTACCAGGCACACCATGAATATAAAGGCAGTGTCCTAGACGATGGTCGTTGCAAATTGCATCCTTCACAAATGTAGAGATCTCCTCCATTTCTGTTGGCACAAGACCTCTACTCAGTAACAGTTTGCATAAGACCGGTTTGGAGGAGCTGAGGTGCTGAGGAGTGGCCCGACTCCCCTCCCTAGGGTTCCCACCCCCGCCGCCGCCGGCGACCCCGCTCCCCCGCCGGCGCCGGCCGCTGGG